GTATTCACCCATAGAACATTATTGTTCCAAGGTTGTGTTGTTGTTGTTAAGTGTGTTTAGTCAGTTTTAACTCACAGCAACCCTGTTTAGGGTTCTTGAGGAGCAGCTGATGGGTTTGAACTTTGTGATTCACAGTCCAGTGCTGATCCTGCAGCATTACACCAAGAATCTGTGGACTCCCATGTTACTCTTCTAATGAAATCTTTTGATGCATGTACGGTCCTGATTTGTAGGAGGTTCCAAGTATCTCTTTTGTCTTCTACTGCTTGTATGTTTTTAGTGATGTTTGATAGTGTGTTTATAGAATATATTAGAACCCATAAGTTTGTCCCTACTTTTTCACTGATGATCTTTACAGTTCAAGGTTTTACATTTAGGTCTTTAATCCACGTTGTTTGTTCTGTATATGGTATGAGATAATCCATTTCTTCTACAAATGGATTTCAAGTTATGCAAACACCGTTTGTTGAAGAGACCATCTCTTTTCCACGACCAACTTCTCTGAAAGGGATCACATTAGAAGGTTCCTGATAGAGTGGCAGAATATATGGAACAAAATTCAAAATTATTTTTTAAAAAGACTGGGCTTAATGGTCAGAAGGAAATAGGAGAAACTGACACTATTTCTCATTTGTTGTACAAGTACCAGGCTGTTTTGACCACTGTGGCTGGGTAGTAAATATTGTAATCAAGAAGTGAGAGACCTCTAATTTTGTTCTACTTTTTAAGTAATGCTTTGTTTATTTGAGGTTTCTTTCCTTTCCATATAAAGTTAGTGATCAGTTTTTCCATCTCTTTAAAGAATGATGCTGGAATTTGGATTGGGATTGCATTATATCTGTAGATTGCTTTGGATAGTGTTGACATCTTAACAATGTTAAGTCTTCCTACCCATTAGCATGGTAGATTCTTCCATTTTTGGAAGTATCTTTTGGTTTCTTGAGTAGTGTTTTGTAGTTTTCTCTGTATAGGTCTTTTGTTTCTCTGGTTAGATTTATTTCTAAATATTTCATCTTTTGGGTGGCTATTGAAAATGGTTCTGTGTTTTCCTATTTTCCTTTTAAGAACTGTCTTTATTAGTATAGAGGAATCCAACTGATTTTTGTATTTGATCTTGTACTTGATACTTTGCTGATCTTTTCATGAGTTCCAATACTTTTCTTGCTGAGTTTTTGGGATTTTCCATGTATAGCAGGGGTGGGAATAAGGCCCTTGAAATCATTTGGTTTGGCCCTGCCAAGGCAACCACAGTGCCAGCCATCACATTGTTGTAGTTGTTAAATGCCATCGAGTCGATTCTGACCCATACTGACCCTGTAAGGGTTTCTGAGGAGCAGCTGCTGAGCTTGAACCACCAACCTTGCAGTTCAAATGGCTTTGCAGTCTGGTGCAGTAACCCACGGCACCACACCAGGACTCCAGCCATCACATTAGGGGTGAGTTATTTAAATATTTGACCAAAAATTCCAGGTTAATTTTTAAGTTTGTAATTTTCTATGGCCTGCAACTGATGTTATAAATTTGAGCAGCAAAAAGGTCCCCCATCACTGATGTATAGGATCATATCATCTGCAGATAGAGTTTTACTTCTTCTTTGCCAGTTTGGATTCCTTTAATTTCTCTTTCTTGCCTTGTATCTTTGACTAAGACTTTCAACACAATATTGAATAAGAGTGGTGATAAAGGGCATCCTTGTCTGGTTCTTATTTGCAAAGGGAAGGCTTTCAGTTTCTCTCTATTAAGAGTAATGTTGGCTGTTGAATTTGTATATGTGCTCTTAATTACGTTGCAGAATTTCCCTCAATTCCTCAATTCCAACATTTTTATCAGGAATGAATGTTGGATTTTGTCAAATGTCTTTTCTGAATCAGTCATGTGGTTCTTTTCCTTTGTTTCATTCATATGGTGGGTTACATTGATAGTCTTCCTAATATTAAACAATCCTTGCATCCTTGGCATGAGTCCTACTTGGTCATGATATATATATTTGTTGTTGTTGTTTTGAATTCTATTGGCTAGGATTTTGTTGAGAAATTTTGCATCGATGCTCATGAGAGATATTGTTTTATAATTTTCTTTTTTAGTGATGCCTTTGCCTGGTTTTAATATGAGTTACTCGATTCCTTCCTAGAAACCAGAGTTAATACCCCAAACCAGCCACACACCCCACTCCTCTCTACCTGACTCTCCATCCTATTGCAGGGTTATCACTGCGGTGGTTCTGAGTGGGTCAGCTCTTGGAAGAGCTTCCTCTTATACCCCAAGCTACGCTAAAGCTAAAATATCAGCAGCACGCTTTTTTCAACTGCTGGACCGACAACCCCCAATCAATGTATACAGCAGTGCCGGTGAAAAATGGGTGAGTACTATGGTAGAGGCAGTAGGAAGGGGGGTTATGTGAGTGTGTGTGGAACAATCCTTGAGGGTGGTCACACATTTCCACTTAGCTTTGAAATTACTGCCATACTTGAAATGACTAGGCAATGTGTTTGCAATGATAAAGGATTGAAGTAAATGAACACAAATCCTTTATTCATAAAGTTGGCATTTGAATACAACAGTGCTACCCAATAAATGCTAAATTTTGTATGAATAATACAAAACACACCTTTGATCCAGAATGAATGAAGTCAGATGTCCTTTGAACCTGTCCAACCACCATGTTTTGTACTGCTGTTCTGGTGTGGAATGTTGAAATACCAGTTTTTCTCGTCCAATGATACTGATTGACTTCAAGCGTATCTAGGTTCATGTGGTCCACTAGAAAATAAATTTGATCTCAACAAGATATATTCTCATGCAACTTATAGTCTTTGTAGGTGTTGTTTTGTCTTTCCTGCTCATTAAAAAAAAAAACTCAATCAGCAGATTATTGCTTTAATTATTGCAGCCTCAGAATTCCTTTTCTTTACAATTCAGAAACAATTACATTTAGGGACCACCCTAGTCTTTTCTGGTAGCTTAGGGGTTACAAATAGGGCTGCTAAGCTAAAGGTCAGCAGTTCGAAACTACCAGCTGTCCCACGGGAGAAAGATGAGGCTTTCGGCTCCAGTAAAGATTTACAATCTTGGAAACCCTGTACAGGGTTTCTATGGGTCGGAACCGACACCATGGCACATCACCACCACCACCACCACCACTACTCTGGTCTGACCTCATTAATATAAAGAAAACGATCAGGATCATATTCACAGGAATATGATACTACAATAAGGAGGGGCTTCAAAATGCTTGTGGAAAAATTCCATTTTCTTTTCATTCCATTTTCCATGAACTTTTGAAGCCCAATCATACATATTTTGGGGGAGATACAATTTATTTCATAACATATAGTGTTAAAGATTCTCTTAATCAGGGGCTTCAAATTCAGATTTAGTTGCTTTGTCTATATTCTAGAGTCCAGTAGGGGCATATGTAACCCAGATCTTTTCTCCACAGGACAACTTTCAGGGGAAGGTTGACTTTGTGGACTGCACATTTACATATCCTTCGCGGCCTGATGTACAAGTTCTTAATGGTCTCTCAGTGTCCGTTAATCCAGGGCAGACACTGGCATTTGTTGGAAGCAGTGGGTGTGGCAAAAGCACCAGTATTCAGCTATTGGAACGTTTCTATGATCCTGACAAAGGGAAGGTGGTAAGCAATGCAAATGCTGTCATGAATTTTACTTTTAGCAAAATGTCTCCAACAGCGAAGGGTGGTCTTCAAGATGTTGCCTTGCCAGACTCACTCAAAAGAGTTTTCTATAGAAATTTACCCCTTGGATGTTTTCCAATCCCAGTGATGGACTGGTTGACTGGATTTTACAACATGGTTTCCACTCTCAGGTCCTCTGCATTCTAGGAGGCCGCTGACCTAGAGTTAGACAGACAGCCAGGCATGCTGTGAAGCTGGAGATGATTGCACTTAACAGAAGCATTTACTTACCTTTAAATGGAGCAGAAAGTGCAGACTAGTCAGGAAACTAATGACCTGGGATGGAAAAAGTGGTGGTGGTTGTGATAAGAAACACAATGATAAATGAGCAAGAAAGATGATTTAGCATAAAAATCTGGGACAATCTTGATTCAAGAAGCTTAAGTCTAAATAAAATAAGACATTCATGAACCATAAAGCTTTGGCAGGGATATTTGACAAATTGATAG